AGTGCAGTGGTATCAAGAGGGTGTTGCTGGGGTTCAGAAGGACTCCAAAATTTGGAAGAATGTCAAACCCTTCATTGACTGGCTTCAAAGTGCCGAGTCCGAGTCCGAGGAGGACTGAGATCACAACTGTCGTTCCTTAATCCAGACTGTTCTCTGGGGGTTTACCTTCTATCATCATCTAGGATATATGCCTGCTTAGCTTGTGACTATTTGCTAGTTCGGTATTTTCATGTTTTCCTTTATTTTTTGTTTTGCTTGTGTCTGTACTTTCATACTTGTTGCTACTTCTGTCATGTGTTCTGTGTCTGTCTTCTTTTTGATGTTTTAAGGCGAATAAGATTTGGGAAGTCTTGAGCTATTTTATTCTTGTTGTGGGTGAATTATTTAGAGTTTAAATGCATATTCTTGTTGTGCAAGTGCTGACGCTCTTGTAATGCCAGCTAAGTTTCTTCATCTGATGAGACAAAATCCCAAAACAAACATAAAGGGAAGAGATTGAAAATAGCACCACTGCATCGCGATTTCAAATGCCACAATAGGCAACAAAGGAACTTTGTAATTGCGATTATTATAAGGACGTAATATTGTAAATCACAGAATGAGGATTATAGTGCGGAACTTAAAGAGAGGTGTCTGAAATTAATTATAATCTTTCGCGTGCTTTGTTTTAAATGTCATCATAATACATCTTTTATGATTATTTCAATTCAAAGTATTTTTTTGAATATTCCCATTACAAATAATTAGGTTCCCCGGTTCGTCTGGATATTTACAACTTTTTAGGGGTTCAATAAGTTTTTCTCTGTGCCCATAACAATAACTTACCTAGATTTAGTACTACCTTCTTGATTTTATGGAAATTCCAATATGCATGTTAATTATTGAGCCTTTAACGTAGTAACAAACTGAATGCTAATTTTGGGGATTAGATATATTAATCATTTATATTCTTGAAATTCATTATTTTCCTTTTGATGGAGGAAGTAAATTAATCGAGTGACTTTTTCTATTTTATAGTAAAATCGTAAAAGTTTGCAATATTGATATTTAAATTTATTGTGAAGTTTAAATTTATTTATCCTCAAAAAGTATTAGTTGAATTTGTTAGTGTGATCTAAATTCACGTAAATCAAACCTAACAATCTATATATACAAAAAAAAAAAAACATAAATCACAATAACGAATGTAAACGATTATTAGATCAAGAATAAATATAACAAAGTATGAATATTTTACTTTGAGTATGAAATTTGTGTCGTCTTAAACGAGAATTTAGAACCCGTAAAAGCAACATATACCAAAAGCTTTGAATACATAGAACTTTTGTTGTTGTAATGGTACAATACTGAGTATTGCGATGAATACAAAGAATTATAACAAGATTATTTATATCTAATCATAGAATTCTATTTTCGTGAATCCCACTATGATCTATCGATAGTGTATTCATCTCCATTTTATAATGTTTGATAAAAATCTCACGCGACGATATGATCCCGACAACTTCTCTATATTTGAAATCGATTTTCATAACTAAACGAGATTAACATCCTAACATCGATCTCAGATGTTTTTCTGTGGATATCAGACATGGCGACAGAATCCTAGAACAATATAAAACAAAAGCCTTTTATTGTTATAAATTATAATAGTAAAATAGTGACTATGGAATGTGTTTAAAAAATAATAAAGGATCTTTTAATATCTAAACCCTAAAATTTTATTTTACATAATTTTCACTTGTATGATTTTTCAATTGTGCATTTATTTCCATCTTATAATGGTTAGCGAAAATTTCAAAATCTAGTTCAAAACAACTTTTAATACTCGATGTTGTTTCTTTCTTGAGCTAGATAGATTCCACACCGTATAACATTCGTCTGACCTATTGTATCTGTCACGTGTTTATCGATCCGTTAAACAATATTTATTTTATTTTACATAAATTTCACTTGTACATTTTTTTAATTGTACATTATCTCCATCTTATAATAATTAACGAGAATCTCAAAATCTAATTCAAAACAACTTTTTATACTCGATATTATTTCTTTCTTGTGCTAAATAGATTCCATACCTATAACATTCGTCGGACCTATTGTACATGCCACATGTCTATCGATTAATTTTAAATTTTTAGGAGGAAAAAAAAACGTGAAACTGTAAAGCAGATTTTCATATTTCAACGTGGCTAAATTATATTTCATTACACATACATCATAACGGCCTCGATGAAAACACGTGGATTGATCATAGAGGTTCGGTGAAAATTAGAAACAAAAATCAAGAAATAAAATTTTGAAATTTCTTAAAATTTTTGGAGAAGTATCTGGATTGGTTTTACTCTTCTCTTCAATTCCTTCAAACCCTATATATTAAGGAATCTGTACGCCGCCTCATCTATTCACCTTTCTATATATATATTGTATGTATTATTAACCCTAAAATCTTCCTCTACCAGTTCCTCCAAATTCTTCAATCAATCGGTAAGATTTCTATTTACTTTTATTCGTTCTGTACTTTTGATCATTCTCAACTGTTTGATTCAATGTCGCTTTCGTGTTTTTAATTGATGATTTATCAATGTGGTTATACTTGTCTTGTTTTCTTCTCTCCGTGTATATCGATGGTTATCTTCTCTGTTTCTCTGATTTATATGAGCTGGTTATGAGTAATTGAGTATCGATAAATTGATCATATATTAATATTTGACGATTGATGCTTAATTTGTGAAGTTTTAGATGTTTCAATCCTTTACCCTAGTTTATTAAGCTTAGGTTGTATTAACTATGGCCTGGGCCATTAGTGAGTAGCATATCTCGAATGGTTTTTTTTTCTAGCAAGTGTTACTTCACATTGCAATTTCAACGTGATATATGAAAGGTTTGTCGTTTGAGTTGTATGATTTTATATATATCTTAAAGCGAGTGTTACTTTACTTTACGATTCAAAAACTTCATTGACGAAGTAATGTTATGCTTTACCGAGTAAATATGCCAAAGTAGTGAGAACAATACGTATAGCATTCTATTTATTCATATACATTGTTTTTCCAGGGAGGCATTTATTTTTCCTTAAATTTTCAGCTACTTGTTTCGGCTATACAACTGGAAGTTGAAACAATTAGGTCAAAGATCTCCTTTGTATCTAAGGTGGAAGCGAAATCTGCAACCTGATATTATTTATCAGTTTTCCCTTTGTCCTATTTTTACATTGCTTATATTTAGTAATAGGTTTAAAAAAAAAATTCATGTACAACTTACTCATTTTTTATTGAGAAGGTAACAGGAGCTTACTTTGTGTCTTTTGGTGTGCCTTTTTTTTCTGAAGGTTGCGGGCGGGGTTTCAAGTTCTAGTTTCTCAAGTTGAAACTTCTTTTATGTCCGAACAAGCCACCCTTTATTTGGGATCCGTTGGATTGCTTGGAGAATATTGTCCAACGTCGAGAAGAAAGTGTTCTGATAGGGTTGATGACTGTATGCATCTTGACTTGTTTCAGCAAGGACACTTAGAGCTTAGTGGTTGCACCCAGATACAACCTTCTCTCAACAAATTTTGGGCCAAAGGATCATCTGGAAATCCCTAACACCTTATTTAGGAATTTTCACTGAATCAGAAATGGCTTTGCAGAATATTGGAGCTGGCAACAGTGATGATGCCTTCTACAGGTATAAGATGCCGAGGATGATTACCAAGATAGAGGGGCGTGGGAATGGCATCAAGACAAACATCGTCAACATGGTTGACGTTGCAAAAGCTCTAGCGCGGCCAGCATCTTACACCACAAAACATTTTGGGTGCGAGCTTGGAGCTCAGTCGAAGTTTGATGAAAAAACTGGGACTTCCCTTGTCAATGGAGCTCATGATACTGCCAAGCTTGCTGGTCTTCTTGAGATTTTCATCAAGAAATATGTTCAGTGCTATGGGTGTGGAAACCCTGAAACTGAGATCCTCATCACTAAAACTCAGATGATCCAACTGAAGTGTGCTGCATGTGGTTTTATTTCTGATGTGGACATGAGAGACAAGCTGACAACCTTTATTCTTAAAAACCCACCCGAGTCTAAGAAGGGAGCCAAAGACAAGAAGGCAATGAGAAGAGCTGAAAAGGAGCGTCTAAAGGAAGGTGAAGCTGCTGATGAAGAGCTGAAGAAGCTTAAGAAAGAAACGAAGAAAAAGGTTTCTTCCAAGGAAGCCACTGCAAAGCCTACCTTGAAAAAGAAAGCCAGTGGCTCTGATGAGGATCATGCATCCCCACCCAAAAAGCATGTGAATGTCAAGGAAGAGGAGGAAGAAGACGATGATGATGTTCAATGGCAAACTGATACATCAATGGAAGCTGCGCAACAGCGCATACAAGAACAGTTGAGTGCTGTGACAGCTGAAATGGTTATGCTGTCCACAAATGAGACAGAGAAGAAGCTCAAGGCAGCTACTACTAAAGCGCATCAAAGTACCAAGGTCGTTTCTGCACCATCTGACAATGATCCCAAAGCTGAGAATGTAGAGAGAACATTTGAGACGCTTGTCGAGGAGGTAAAAGTAGAGCTAAAGAAGGGAGCTACGGCCAGCCAATTTCGATCTTTCTTGGGTTCACTTTCTGGATCTCCTCAGGACGTGGTTAATGCTGTCTATGAGGCACTCTTGGATGGTGTGGAGAAAGCATTCGCCAAGGAGCTTATTAAGAAGAAAGGTTACCTTCTTGCTGCTGTTGGTCAAGAGGATGGGTCACAGCTGTTTTTGCTCAGAGCACTGGAAGAGTTCTGTGGGAAATCTAACCCGGCAGCTGTGAAAGAAGTAGCACTCGTTTTGAAAGCTTTGTATGATGCGGATGTATTGGAGGAGGAGTCTATAGTGCAGTGGTATCAAGAGGGTGTTATTGGGGTTAAAAAGGACTCGAAAATTTGGAAGAATGTCAAACCTTTCATCGACTGGTTGCAGAGTGCTGAGTCCGAGTCCGAGGAAGACTGATATCACAACTGTCCTTCCTTATTTAGTCTTTTCTCTGCAGGCTTATGTTCTTTCATCTTTTTGGCTGTTCTTATGTGATGGAGTCTATTTACGAGTTCAGTATTTCATGTTTTCTTCTTTATTTGGGGTTTTCTAGGGTCTCTACTTTTATATTGCTTGATACTTTTGTCCTGCAATCCGTGTCTGTCTTGAATTAAGTTGAATAAGTTTTCTATGGGAATAAAAAATCTAAGCTATATATAAGTGTTGTGCGTTAATTATTTTTAGTATCCAGTTCATAGAAACTTTCTTGAATAAGTAAAATATTGTTGTGATATTTTTTTTTCATCGAGGGCTTCAGAAAAGTATGATGGCGACTCTGTCATGTTCAAGCCCGCTTATCCTTTTCAACTTGTTTTTTTTTTGGGAAAAGGCCTGTGGTTGTGAGAAGTTGAGATGATGAAGATTATCGGTGTTTTATACACGAGTTATTATATATACAAAGCATAATCACAAATCACTGCGAGTCTTACTGTTTGAAACCCAAGGATTTCAATTTATGAGATCAGTACTTCCTGATATTAACAATAAGATATCTTGGGTTTTCTCTTCATACAATGTTTGTTTTGTATTGTTATAGTGAAGCCGCTGTATTGTAGCATGGAGTACAAGTTATAAAAGCAAAGCCAGAAATGTCTTTGACCTTTTGTTGCAGCTTTGCTTTATTTGTCCGAGAATACTCCATAATAGAGCCATAAAAGTCGCAGTGTGAAACTTTCGCGGTTTCTTTTCTAAGGCCAGGGGTTCATTGGACATGTAAAAACTGTGGCTGAGGATGCTGTAGTGGTAGTTCACTCTCATTGTTCGATGGAGCAATCTGAAAGTGCTGAAGCTGTTGTAATGGCAGTTCATTTTCTTCATCTGATGAGGCTATCTCTGAGTGATGACGATCCTAAAACAAACATAGATTTAATTCAGGATTCTTTTGACTTGCATATCAATATTTTCATCAGTACACTGGAGTTTTTTATGCTTTAACCACCTGCTGATGCCTCCAATGTCGCACAGCAATCAAAGCTTTCACCAAAACGTAGATTGCCAGTACGATTCCAATAGCTTTCAACACTGATAACTATAAACATGAAATATATAAACAACTCCGAGGAGAAGTGCAGAAGTCTCTCTTTCCAAAGAAATTTAACTGCGCCACTAACCATGACTAATGATACCGAGTTATCTCCAGCAACACCAAAGATTATTGACAGCATTGTACGCAACATCAGAAGAAGCACAAACTGCATGGACAGGGGAAGAATTGAATGTAAAGATTGTGCGTCTAGCTCTATTGACAAGTTCTATGTACGAAGCACGATACATGCAGAGGAGGGAACTTACAGTTATGGCAACAATGCGACAACATATCAAACTTCTTGGATAAAATGTTGTATACTCATCTGACTCATTACCAACAAAATTGTCGTCTGTTGAAAACAATGCACCAAAATGATGATAATCAACCCCACCCATGGAAACATCCCAGTTTCCTCTGTGATAGCAAAGACAAACCAAGCACAGCAGATGCAGTTATTATTTGGAATCGAAAAGAACAGTTTTGTGAAGAATATAACCGTTAAAGTTTCAGATGGTAAAATTACACTGTGTTCATTGTGAATCTGCCAAATAGAGGAGGAGCTGGTGCTGTATAATCTGGCGTAAAATTCTGCAATATCACATTAAAGAGAAACATGGTTAATAACAACCCACTTTCAGCAGCATATACAGTGCACAAAGCAACATTTATAGGTCCTGGCTTAAAAGATGGAACACAGCATAAGAAATTCTGCAATCACAATTGAACCTCGCGGCAAATTTCACAGATGATGTCCCCCTTCTCATTGCACCACCTCTGTACACATTTGCGATGTGCATACTGCGTAATACAAAAACTTCATTAAGAACAAATCACTACTAAATGAATATGCATATAAGGATGCAAGAAACAGCTTCTGTCAGCACAATTTTCAGTTTTTGTACTTGACAGCACTAGTCTAAAAGGAAAGCAGCAACTAAACTGATACAAATCCAACATGTGTTTCGTTACAAAGCTCTTGTAGAGAGCACGCTGGTCCTAATAACTAGTTAAAGATTTCTGGAAATGGAAACTCATGGTAACAAAACTCAAATATATAACACTTAGTATCGTCCAAATATCCTGCCTTTAGAATGGTTAACACCTAAAGTGAGAACAGTAAGCATATATTTTTTCAGACATGATACAAGTCAGACATCTACTATAAATGTGGAAATAGTTAGGACAACAAACCTTGAGGGTTCCGCGGCAAGAGCAGGGTACCTCCATGTTAGAATCATCATCACCATCATGGCAAATCCTACATTCTTCCATCTTCCTTGGTGCAGACTCAACATGGATGTTCATCCTATACGAAGTAAAATCTTCTCATTCTTTAATATCACCAGGCAAGGCGTGCTGCAATAAACGTGTATGATTGGAATATACTTACCAAAACCTCAGGTTTTCCACACTTAAACCAAGCAATATGGAGAATGCATATGGTTAAGTGACAAAAGATTTTATGCAAGACGCTTATCATATACTCATTTGTTTGGTGCAAACTTTGCAAAATGATCTTACATGTATCAGAGTAATATAGTAGTTCATCTTTTTATCTTTTTTGGAATGTATGGACTTACATATTCAGATGAAGACTTTGCGAAATGACTTCCAGGTCCTAAAATAGCTCAGCTGCATTATGTTAGATATTTCAAAATGAGAATGAGAAAACAAGATCAATTATAACAAGAGCGAGATAAGTTATAAACATGATTGATATGAAATTAAAATTTAGAAAAAAACATACCGAGATAGGCCAAGAGGAAGCACAACAAAAGATAAATTGAAGAATCAAAAAGAGTTTTGAGTGTATGTATTATGAAGAAGAGGAAAACTTACAAGAATGGGATAGCATTTTTGCAAGAGAAGAAATTAAACACTATTCTTTCATCACTTCATTCTTTGCTTCCTCAATACATTTGTGATTAAATTTCCTATTCTAAAATTTGTCATTCTCAAAGTTCAAATCTTTCAGAATAGGCTTTCTCCAGAATTATGGTTTAAGGATAAAGCAACAGTTTTTTTTTAGTCATGATCCTTTTAACATATATACACAAGTTGGAGGTTACCAATGTCGAAGGTCACTTTTCGAATATTTCCCTTTTTTAGTACTAATTTTGAGAGGCACACATTTGTTTATTTCCTTTAAAATGTCTGAAAAAAAATGATTATGTCAAAAGAAACTGAATCAACGAATATGTTTGGATAATTGTTGCTTTTCTAAAAGTTTTACTTTCATCTCAATAGTATTTTTACAGAAAAGTGTGCAAAATCAGCTCGAAAGTTCTCAGAACTTATTCTAAATAGTTGTCAAAACACAACACACACATTTCTTATAGTAGAATATAAAGTTTGCACGTCCAAACGGGAAAAGTTGATAATGTCATATGCTTAGTTTGTCTTTTGATATTTATTATGCTCATTTAACACCTTGCAGTAATTGCATCGAAGTACAATTTCCATCAAGCAACGAATAGAACATTTGCAGATGACTTAAATACATGACAGAGTGACATAATGGCCTTGTTGCGACGACCCACTGAATACAAGTGGAGATCAACATGACACATGATTTGGGACAAAAGCAAGTGTATGTCCCTAACTCTGATAGTATTTTGATTCAGATTTTCGTTCATTCTGCTTGTTACTTCCAAGAGTCTTAGATTGAATCCAGATAATACTATGAGCCTCAGCTCCAAAGAATGAGCATAGTGTAACTTGGCCAAAACTCAAAGTTTGACTGACAGACACAACTATTATAGAACATATATCGAAAATTGTTTGCTGGGGACAGATAAATGCTTCATGAAAGTAATCGTTGGAATGCGTTTGTGTAACAGAGATAGAAGCAAACACAGAAAAACTAAGGCAAACACTACATATGAATAGTTTGTTGAATAGATAATCAAGTACACCACTTAGAGACCCTTCACATACAAGTTTAATACATCAGTTGATTTTATAATGCACTGAAACAAGTAGAGTGATTCACCACCAATGTCGCGTCACACTTATTACATAGGAACTCTAAAAATTGATATGAATACTGTGAAGAGACCTCAGACATAAGAAAGCAGAAGCTTGAAGTAGACAATAATGTACATAGAAATAGAGAAGAGAGCAAACACATGTTGCCAGAAGAGCAATGCTGAAGCTTCTCTGACTGCATAACCTCTCAAGCTAGCAACTGCTCCCAACAAAATGGCACTTGGTGTGGTGTATTGCAGCAAAAGAACGAATTGGTACATCTTATCATCAGGAATTAAAAAGTTCAGTTCATCTGCCAAATAGACCACCCCTGTTCCCAGCAAAGGAAGGACGAAAAGCCTAGCAACGCTGATGCCAACAGTGGTTCGAACCCCAAGTTCAGATTCATTTGGACCCTCAGCAAGCATTCCTCCCAGAATCAGCATAACTGAAGGCACCATAGCTTGAGCTAGTATATTTAAACTGTCCGTGAGGAACTCGAGAGGAGCTTCTGTACCATAAACAACAGATTTAATGGGTGGAACCATTCCAACAATAAAAGCCAACAATATAGCAAACATTGGAGGCTGGAGAACATGTCGAACTGGAGTTTGTTCAGCAACAATTCTTAATTTTCTAACCACCCGAGGCTCCGCTAAACATCTAATAGATTTTGGACTCGTTGGAGCTGGCGCTTCCTCCAAACTATCAGGGTCTGGAATAGAAGTACACGAGAGGGTTGAGACACTTGTAAAAACTCGCGCAATAAAGGGTGTCTTGCAATGCACAGTTTCTCTATCTTCCATACCAGGCCATTCAGCTTCCACTAGAAGTGGCCTACTTAAATCATTACTAGGTAATTGCTCCTGAATCTCACCACCCCCATCAACAACATCAAAGTACTCAATTGGGGGTTCCATCATATGGTAAACAAGAGTGTAAACAAGCAGGACCGCCACCCATTGAGCAAACGACACATAAGACACACCAGTCGTGTAGCAATCTGGACCAAAAGGATTGTCATTACTATGACACACTGATCCAACAATAGCAAGAGGCAAATTTCCCGTATTCCCAAACGCAGTCGCAATAATAGTGAACCTAAAATACTGTGGAGGTGGCTTACAAATTTTCGCCACCAAATACCCCAACAGACAACCAATTGCAGTACTAAGAAGCACATTAGCTGGTATAAACCACCAGCGCATAAAGTTCTTGACAGTAATAGTCTCACCAAGGTGAATAAAGATAGTACAAGGCAAGAAAAGCGCAAAGACAAGCTTACTAAGAAGCTTAAAGGTAGCTTTAGGAACTAATTGGGTTCTTGGATGTGCAAGAATCAGACCAATAACAGTTAAACATAGGAGCTTCAACAATGGCAAAACAGCATATACAAGGTAATGACCACCATAATACAGATTGACATCAGTTTCAGAAAATGGGGGTTCCATTTTTTTAGCTTGAAACCACAAACGAAGCTTCCAGAACCTCTATCAAAGCCCCCCAAATCACTTGAAATTCTAATCAAGATTGAATCTTTACAAGGTGGGTCATAAAAAAATCTTCAGATTTGAACAATCCAGATAACCCCAAATCTAGAAAATCACAAGTCACCAATAGTATTTTGGTAACAACTTAAAAGACACTTATAAACTACAGGTCAAAATCCAAGATTCTGTAAACAGGATTCTTTGAAAGAAAAAAAAAAAAGAGACAAACTGCTAAATTATATAGTAACAAAGGGAGTAGCAACAAAACCCAAAATCAATAAGTTTGAAAATAGAAAGAAAAATGATGTTTGAAGACAACAAATACTTGTCTTATGCAAAAATGAAGAAGCAACTGGTAGCTGAGTTGCAGATGGAACCTCTTCACTGGTAGAGAGAAACAGAGAGAGCCTTCTAGAAAACAGAGTGAAGAGAATACGAACTACTACTACTCTATGATTGAACTAATTTGGTTTACTGTTTCTTTGTGTGCATAATTTTACTCCTCAAGCGTAGGAATCATCTATATCCTAATTTTGAGATAATATGATTTGACTTAGCACCATATTTTTAAAAATTAATTTTTTTTCTTGAAATTTATGGTTTTAGTTTGAGATATTTATGCGGTAATCAATTATTCTATTTTAAAGTAAAATAAATTACAATTAAATAAATTTTAATTATATTTAAATAATATTTTTTAAAAATTGATTAAAAAGGAAAAAATGTAATATACTTTCAGTTTCGTTTTACTTATCTAAGTTTGACTTATTATATCAATTAAAAAAATATTGATTGATATAATGAATTTTTCATTTTTACTTTTATTAACGAATAATATCTCAAAATATTTACTCACCATAATTTTCAAATATATTAACTCAATTGATAAATTAAGAATATAATAAAAAATTCCGTTAAAAGTTTATCAAAATAAACCGGTAAAAAAAAACATGAAATTAAGCTATAGGGATCAACTATAAAATCAATATATATATATAAATGAGGACCATAGACAAGGTGATGTGGCACCTCTCTATGGCCTTCATTCCTTTTTTTCATTTTCTCTCTTTTTTGACATTTTTTTTTTTTTATGAAATAATTTGTTTATTAATTAAAAAATTCAAGTATATTTATTATTGTAATTATATATAATGGTTACAAAAAAATCTCCATCTATTGATATTCTCACTTAAATTGCATGTCTTTTCAATTTCCTTATAACTATTTTTGTGGCTTATCCAATCTATAAATACCTATCATCCATAGAGATGTTGAATGTTCATTTTCATTTTTTCATCCTTTCTTTTTAGTAGTATAGGTTTTTAATTTTCTTTTCTTCGTCTTTTTATTCATCAATCATGTATATAATAAAAAAAAAGACATAAAAAGATGATGTCACAATATGACCTTTACTTTGATGAAGATCATAGATATATTCTTCAAATATTCATCACATTATTTGGTATAAGTTCAACAAAATGAAGAAGGAAGTATAATTATCTTGGAGATTCCGGAAGATAGAGTCATAGTATTATAAAAGCTGAATGATTTCCAAACATTTTGAAAATTCATTGTTGTATTATTTTGATTCCAATTAATATTATTCTATTCTCTTTTATTTTATTTCTTCATTTTGAACAAAAAAAATGATTATTCTATTCATTGTTGTTGTTGTTGAAGATGAAAAAAATGATTATTCCATATAATATATATATATATATATATATATATATATATATATATATAAAATTAATATTTTAGATTTTTTCATGGTTGAATTAAAGGGGATATTATCTATGGTACACTTTTTATAATATCTACTGAATATTTTTGTTCCTAAAAATATATGATATGGTCTATTATATTAGTAATCAATCACAAAATAAATGAATAAATATTTTTTTCAGTATTGAATATTTTTAATGATATATTCTAATTGAGAACACTCGGTATCACTTTGTAAGAATACACTACATTGTTGTTGTTTTAATTAAACATATAAAGTTTGTATTTTTTAAGTTAGTAATGAAACCGTATGAGAATATATGTAAATTTGTGACTAATAATATTAATTTCGATTAGAGAACTTTTTTTTATTGTAATTTGTTATTAATAACATTTTAAGTTTCTTACCTTTTCATTTTCTCCTATTAAATAGATAAGGGAGAAACTAATCTTACAAACATAATTGGAACTTTGAATTTAGCATTCCCTAAAATTAATCTCATTAATTTTCCCTTCTTAAACTAAGAAATATGTATCTCTTTATCTTCATAACTTATATTTCTATAATCTTCAACTCCTCATAACTCTCAAATTTTAAATGTGTAAACTTATGATAATTTATTGTGTTTCTCAATGAATATCTAAATA